AAGCCAGGTGAGCGAGTTTTACTTGTAAGAAGAGGTAGAACAACAACGCAAGTGTAAAAGTGCCGAGCGTAAAACGAGTCTTTCCTCTCTCCTGTTTAATATGTTAAGGCTTCGTTCACGGTATTTTTCATTTTCCTATTAAAGTTTTACGTTTATAATTTATATCTACGGTGCATACATTGGGACGTTTTTTCTCTCAATCGTTTATTATACTTTAATATTTTTGAATATTTATGTATTATTTTAGTCAGAGAAAAGATGCGAGTAAAAGAATACGAAATTATGAAGGACAAACAAAATATTTATATAATTCATGTTGGATTTACTTTAATTATAAAGATACGTGTAATTTTTTAAGTATTTTAAACTTTCCATAGTAAATATTTATGCGGACTTTAAAATATTGGTAAATTAATAATAAAATTTGTAGGTAATTATTTAAATACTTTATCTATATTGTTTTTTTTTTTTTTTAAGTAAAAATTATAAATTATAAAAATAAGTATAGTATGAATTAATAGTTACTAAGATAAGTATTTTATGAAAATTAGTTAAAAAATTATTTCACACTGAGAAAATAAATTGCAATGGTTTATAATGTAGTAAAAAATAATTATTGTTTCTTATTTATAAAAAATATTTTGCTATCTCTTTTACATTATTAGGGGATGTCGTGGTAGTAAGCAGAACAAACCGGTTTTTTAATTACGCAATTTATCGAAAGTGCTAATATATTCCTAGTAATTATGAGAGAACAAATAAAAAATGTAATTCGTTTATCGGCTATTTTGGTTTTGTTTTACGCTGAATTGACTGAATTGACTGAATTGACTACGCTGAATAATATATTATATTATAACTTTCACATGTTGACTTTCTTATTGTTCGGCTCTAGTAATTTGAAACAAACTTGCCTTTGCTTTTGTAACGAAGGTTTTGATAATATATGCGTAAGTATGGTACTAAGTATTTTATGAATGTCCAAAACCTCTAGGTGCCTCTTGTAATATAAACATACATGGTGTCATATAGAAATGTCGGTTTCGATCGACTAGTTTGGAATTTGAGTAGGAAACATGTCGGATTATTATTCCAAACAATGCTCCAAGCAAATGAACTGGATGAGCTTATTTTATTTTTTATCATGTTGTCGATGTTTCGAATATCGTATAATAGTTCAACTTTAGAACTGTAAAAAAATGAATGAAACTCAAGCTGCGATAATTAAAAAAAAAAAAAATGTATATGCATATATATCTATGATAACCTTGTATTTCGTCGTTTTTACATCGATTGTACGATACGTCGATTGTAGAAAAAATTTGAATTAAAATGAAAAAAATATTTAAACGAATAAATTTACATAAATTTTAAAAAATAATATAAAAAGCATTTCGAAACTTTTATTACGTATATACAAATATATATATAATGGATTATTATAATTGCTAAATATTTCTTAATTTTATAATAGTTTATAAAATCAAACAACATTAATATTAACTTAAAGTTTTAATCTTATATAAGTAAATGCTTTTAAAATTGCATTAATTAATAAGACTTTAAAACATGAAATAATCAGCCAATTTCAAAGTACATTTTAATTTATTTATTTTGGATTTTTAATACAAATTTCTTGTTACCTTTTCATAATCAATTCCTAATAGTATGAATAAGCATCCACATACTTAATAATAAAAAATTTTTTCAAATTTTTTTTTACCGAATCATTTTTTATAAGAAAGCTACATATTTTTAATTTCTTAATATTTCGGTCTCATTCATATAGAATATATTATTGACCACAATAAAATTATTATATTTTTATACATATGTATTAGTGTGTTATTGTAATCAGTACTGTACCAATGTGTTATTGAAATTCATTGGGCATAAAATAATTTCAAAGAAAACTTAATTTAATGAATAATTCTTAAAAAAAAAAAAGAAAGAAAGAAAGAAAGAAAGTAGAAAGTTTCTAAATAATCAACTGTTATGTTTAATTTTTTTAATTAATCCATTGAAAAATCTAATTAATTTAAAATAAAACGAGTTTTCACTAATTTTTTATTTTTCTTCGAATGTAAGGATCGTTCTTATTTACAAATCATTCAATCAAATAATAAAATTATATTTATTTATTTTTATTTTATTTTATTATTTTTTTATTTTTTTATTTTATCATGACACGGTATAATGTATAATGTATACATTTATGTAATGTAATATATATGTAATGTATAATGTATGCATTGCTTGTAGTATAATTTAATATTTTTAGAAAAATGTATTCAATAAAATATACAAGAAATATTTTACAATATCGTCGAAAATCCAATATACGTAAAATGAAAAATGTATTATAACATAAATTTATAAAAATAGTCTTTTATATATATGGAAATTAATACATTATAAGTCAGTTCAAATCTTTGATATTTTTAATGAATATTGTCATTTCATTAGGATCAACTCTTAAATATTTATATTTATATATATATATATTTGATATTCATTCATTCATTTGAATCTGATAGAAATCTAAAATGATATTAAATATCATCGTATGTAAATAAGGTAATAGTTAACAAAGATATATTTATAGAAATTATTCGAGTAAATTTTAACTCTAATTATTATAATTACTTTAATTCAACTTTTTTAATAAACTATTTTAATTAATTAATTTTTTGTACAATTTTGCTTATTAACTTTTTATATAATTTCTGAAAATTTGGCAATTAAACATGTTATTGTTAATATTTATAAAAACTAAAGGACAAATATATTTATTATATTATCAATATTTACTTAGAAAATAATTGTAACGCTAATATTTTAGAACTTTTGAAAGATTCTACTTGAAATATTTTGATAGACTGTAGTTATAAAGATGCAAAAGCTGAATATCAACGTTTTTTCGGAAGACAACTTCCATTGCAAAATTCACTGTATACGATCATATATTTAATATATGTATGTATGTAGAGCACAATATATTTTTGGAAATATTTCTTAAATTCATGTCGGTTATATTGTCTTTATTATTACCGAACGTAGTACATTTATTTGCTATGTAAACTTATGTTGATGCATGGAAATGTGGGACAATACAGCCATAAATAACTCATAATATTTTGTAATTTATTAAAAGAATATATATTGTATGAAGTAACTTTTTTTTTTAATGTTTCATTCGACTACTGTAGATACAAGACATGAACATTCTTTAAAAATATGAGAATATGAATGTTAATTAATGACTTCGTGATTAAATCACATTTAATAAATTAATAATATTTTTATTGGCATTCAAAAAATGGATTAAGCCTTTTTAAATTTTTTTTTTTTTTTAATTAATACACAATCCAACCTTTGACATTAAAATGTACTCTGGCTTCTTCAATATCAATAACTATAACTAATAGTAATTATTTCATATTTTCTTAATATATTATATGGGATTCTTAAGGTGTTTTGTTTTCTGCATGAAACTCTGTATTCGAATAATTATTTACGAGTCTGGCATTGTTGAGCATTCTAATCCAGTACTATTGCCATTATATTTAAAAAAAGATTATGCAAATCAGAAATAATAAATTGTACTATAATATTAATATTTATAAAATGTACAATTCAAATGACATAATCAAGTATGTAAAACACTTGAAATATCAATTGTCATTTCTATATATTTAAAAGCCGATTAAAATTCATGGATCAAATACTATATTGTTTATTACGTATGAAAGTATATATAATCTGTTGGAGAAATTCGTTGTTTTAATTTTTGTAATATTTTAACGACTCAGATTTATCCGATTAAAAGTTCGAATTAAAAACATTTTTCACGGTGGAGCTTAATCAACAATTATAAGACACTAATTATTGATAATAAATAAATAAATAAATAAATAAATAAATAAATAAATAAATAAATTTAACTATCTAGTCCCATTTTGATTTTTACACATCACAATGTTTATTTATGATGAATAATTGTGTGTTGTAGCACAATATTTAAATGATGTTTCCGTAATATTCATAAACGATCGATTTACCATAAAATCACAATTAACGAATAAGTAGTTTACATAATATTCCATAATTTAGATAAAACTAAGATACTATATTATTTTTCAGTTATTCATAAAGTGTATATGGGATGAGGGGTGG